CCAGATCCTTTTTTTGTCACTGTGTTGTCAGTGAGGGAATCACATGCAGAAATCCTTGTTTTATCGCAGTGTGAGTGTGAGTGAGGGAATCACAGACATAGATCCTTGTTTTAACACTGTGTGTGTGTCAGTGAGGGAATCACAGACACAGGTCCTTGTTTTACAGAGAGAGTAGGAACTGCCGATGCTGGAGTCTGAGATAACAAGGTGTGGAGCTGGATGAACACAGCAGGCCAGGTAGCATCAGAGGAGCAGGAAAGCTGATGTTTCGGGTCTGGACAACGGTCATAGACACAGATCTTGTTTCATCACTGTGTATTCATGAAGAAATCACAGACACAGATACTTGTTTTATCACTGTGTATGTGAGTGAGGGAATCACAGACCCAAACCTTGTCACAGTGTGTTAATGAGGAAACACAGACCCAGATCCTTGCTTTATCACCGTGGATCAACTGGGTTTGTACTCACTGGAATTTAGAAGAATGAGGGAGATCTCATAGAAACATAAAATCCTGATGGGACCGGACAGCTCCCGATGTTGGGGAAGTCCAGAACTAGGGGTTACAGTCTAAGAATATGGGGTAAGCCATTCAGGATTGAGATGAGGAGGGAATTCTTCACTCAAAGGGTTGTGAACCTGTGGGATTCTCTACCACGAAAAGCTGTTGGGGCCAGTTTGTTAGATATATTCAAGAGGGAGCCAGACGTGGCCCTTGTGGCTAAAGGGATCAAGGGGTATGGAGAAAAAGTGGGAGTGGGATACTGAAATTGCATGATCAGCCATGATCATATTGAAAGGTGGTGTAGGTTTGAAGAGCCAAATGGCCTACTCCTGCTCCTATTTTCTATCTTCCTATTGCTGTAAAACTTATCTTCAAAGTAAGCTACCAGCACTTATTGTAAATGTTATTTACACTGTTGTTTGTTCAACCAGTGGGGTGATGTTACTGCAAATGAGATGAAACCAGAAAAAAAAAATGAGATTGAGATTCAGTTGGCAACAGGTAGCTGATTGGTCTGTGGAATGATGGCCAATTATCAATGACAAAGGCCTTCTGCCCCCAAACAATTATGTAATTGGTGTTCAGATGACTGAACAGATTGTGGGTGTGAATGAGATAGCCAGAAGCCTTCGGAATCCCAGAAAAGAAGAGCAACATCGCATCTCAGTGGTTAGCACAGCTGTCTCATGGCATCAGGGACCTGGGTTTGATTCCAGCCTTAGGTGACTGTCTGAGTGGAGTTTGCATGCGTCCTCCCCATATTCTGCCAGGTGCTCTGGTTTCCTCCCACATTCCAAAGATGTGCAAGTTAGGTGGATTGGCCATGTTAAATTGTCCGTAGTGTCCAGGGATGTGCAGACTAGTTGGAATAGTAAATGTGGGGTTATGGTGGGAGTGCTGGTGGTATGCTTGGAGGGTTGATGCAGACTTGATGGGCTGATTGGCCTCTTTCCGCACTCCATGGATTCTATGTTGTCTTTGTCTCTGCAGCAAAAAAAACTAAAGCCTGAAGAAACCTAGTTCATTTTCCCTCATCAGTTGCTGTAAACTGTTGCTTTTAATCAGTAAGTCGGAGATTTTGAGTTGTGAACCAGTCCTTGTGTGCCTCCTGCATGCAAGTACAAGTACCTAGAGAAAGAGATCAATGAACTGCAAGTCCTGAGAAGCAAAAGGGGTCATCTCAGCAAGCCCTGTGGACAGGGATCACTGAACTGCCTTCCCAGTTTTCCCCTCCATCCATAACACCAATGTTTTTATTTTCATCTGTCTGTGTCTGTATCAGGGAATTTTATAAGGATGTTAGCGTTTCAACTAGTAAAGTTATGTCAATAGTTCATAATTGTTTGCTGTAGCTATAATCTGTTAATTTGTAATAAATTGTCATTCTTGTTGAGAACAGAAACCTGGTCTGTGCTTATTATCAATCTGGGTGTAAAAGGACAAGTAAATTGAACAATATTGTTCAACAGTGAACAATATAGAAAGGACTTTGCAAAACTTACAGCTATGAAGCACATGTGGTCCACAAACGCGCCTGCCAATACCAAAAGGCAATGTAACTAATTTTAAGGAAAGAACACTGAAGATAATGGAACTGGAAAATCATGTCTGAGCAACAGGCTGAAATGGAAGTTAAGGCAATATGTTAGATTACACTATGCTGAACATAGTTTACTCTGGACTTGTAGTGACCTCATTGAATTTAAAACCAAGCTCATACTTTCGTACAACAGTCGCCATGCTTATGAAGGTGGGAGGAACGGATAGGTGGGAGAGAAGACGGACAGGTTGGGTCAGGTCAAGGAGGCGGGGATGAGAGGGAGAGTTGGTCATGGGATGAGACTGGGAGTGGGAGTGGGGAGATTTTAAAACTGGTGAATTCCTTGTTTAGGCTGTAGGCTCCTGAGGTGCAATATGAGGTGTTGCTCCTCCAGTTTGCGAGTGGTGTCATTGTGACACTGGAGGAGGCCCAGGATAGACATGTCACCCAGGGAGTGGGAGGTGGAGTTGAAATGGTTAGCGACTAGAAGGTGTTGTCGTTTTTTGCGAACAGAATGCAGGCGCTCTACAAAGCGGTCTCTGAGTCTCCACTTGGTCTCACCGATGTAAAGGAGGGAGCAACGGATGCAGTAGACCAAATTGAAGGATGTGCAGGTGAACACCTGCCTAATGTGGAGGGTTTGTTTGGTGCCTTGAATGGAGGTGAGAGCGGAGTTGTAGGGAGTTGAAGTTCCCTGCACTTCCTAGCAGGGAAAGGTGCCGCGGGTGGTGGGGCTAGTGGAGAGTGTGGAGCGGACAAGGGAGTCACGGAGAGAGCAGTCCCTATGGAGGGCAGATGGAGTGGGGAGGGAAATAGGCAGTCCTTTAATACAGAACTGGTCAAGAAGTGATTTTTGGGAGGGAATTCCAAAGTTTAGAGTACATGCAACTGAAGGCGTGTCTGCAAATGCCAGGTCTGAGGAAATTGATGATGTGCAAGAGGCCAATTGGAGGAGCGCTGCATTCTTGTCGGGCTGCAGGAGATTACAGAGTTAGGTAAAGCAAAGGGTTTTGAAAACAAGGATGATGGATCGGGAGTTAACGTTAGGTCATTGTTCACAGAGCTAAAGGATGAGTCACAATAGAGGCAGCAGATTATTGGATGATTTCTGTTTTTGGAGGGTAGAATGTTTCAGGCCAGGCTTGTGTGCTTTGAAATCATTAATCGAGAGGTAACAAAGGCACAATTAAGCGTTGCAGCAGCAGGAGTGCTGAAGCAAAGCTGGAGGCAGGCAATGTTATGTAGCTGGAAGTATGCAGTCTTGCTGATGAAGAGAATGTGTAGTTGGAAGTTCTGCCAACTAACTCCATAGGAACAGGAGTAGGCCATTTGGCTCCTCAAGCCTGCTCCACCATTCAACAGGATTATGGCTGGTCTGACAGTCCTCACCATTTTCCTGTCCTTTCCCTCAACACTTGATTCCTCCTACTGATGAAGAATTTATCTATCTCAGCCTTCAATATACACAAGGACTCTCTTTGCCACACAGAGCTGTAAGGGCAGTTCCAACAATACTCAGAGAAAAAATTCCTCCATATCTCGGTCTTAAATTGGTGCTCGTTAATTCTGAGGCCAGGTTGCGAATGACCTGTTTCAGCCTAAAATAGTGACCAGGGAAAGGGATGAAATTGACAGCTAGAGAACAAAGTTTGTGGCAGAAACCAAGAGCAAGTGGAATGAATGTTTAATATTTACTGTCTTTGTTAACATTTGCAGCAATAACATTTCCACTCACTGAAAACTATCAGCTGTGGAACACTTCAGTTGTTTTTAAAAATACAAAAATAACATTTTATAAAAAGCACATATCTGCACAAAAATACTTATTCTGACATTATTCTTTGGACAAAGCTACATGGCAAATGTCGGGAGTGTGAATGAAATACTCCCCACTTGCCTCAATTCCAACATCATCCAGGACAAAGCAGTTGGCTTGTTTAACACTACACCTACAAACATTCATTCCCTACACTGTAAATGCTTGGTAACAGCAGTGTATTGCAGAAATTCACTGAGGCTTCTCAGACAGCACCTCCCAAAACCATGACTACTATCATATAGAAAGGCAAGGGCGGTTATATACGAACACCACCACCTTCAAGTTCCCCTCCAAGCCACTCTCCATCCTGACTTAAATATAATCACTGTTCCTTCAGTGTCCCTGGGCCAAAATCCTGAAACACTCTCCATAATGACATTGTGGGTCTACCTACACCAAGTGGATGCAGTGGTTCACTGCCTTCTCATGGATGGTCAACAAATGCCCAATTTGTTAGTAATTCTCCCATCCTAAGAAAGAATTCAAAGAAAACTTATATGTGAAAATTCTGATCTGTAAGAAATGTGTTCTAAGGTAGTTTACAAACAAAGACTTACTAACGATAACTAATTTATGAACAAACATACTTGTAAGAAATGTTTATATGTCAAATAGAAGCAATACCTATTTACAATAAATACTTATATTTTCAAATGCATTCCTATCCAAAAGAAATATTTAGAAATACAAGAAATACCTACCTACAAGAAATGTTTACTTGCAAAACAAAAAAAATCAGATTTTTGTTTCCATGAAAGATTTGTAAAACGTATTTAGAATAAATACTTATATTGTCAAACATCTATCCACAACAAATATTTAGCTACAAGAAATAGCTGTGTATAAAAAAAATTCTTGACAAGAAACTCATGTTCCCGAATATTTAGCAATAGGGAAAAAAAGATTACCAAGAAACAGTTATCTACAAGAAATACTTAGCTAAAAGAAACATTCCTCAACGAGAAATGTGAAAATAGTAGTTATAAAGTAAAAACAAATTTGTGTGTATGTGTGTATACATCACGTTACTGTCTATAGGGCACCCGATTTACAGCGATAGAGGCGGAGAGTTATGAGGGAGGGGCTACCCCTGCCCAGTTGAGTACCGACACCCCGTCTTGTTGTCCAGGTTCCGTGGCCTGGCCCTGCTGCTTGCTTATTTAAAAAGGGGGGACGAGCAGGCTAAGTAATGTCGTGGAGCGGGTCAAGCTCTTGCAAACCATGCTCAGGGTCTGCGTACTGCTGGCTTGCATCGGGGTGCCCGGGCGGCTGGGGGCACTGGGCGCGATGATCGAGTGTGCTCCATGCAACGAGCGGGCACTGTCAGCCTGCCACCCCCCGCGGGGCTGCGAGCTTGTGAAGGAGTCCGGCTGCGGCTGCTGCCTGACATGCGCGCTGGCCGAGGGAGCTGCGTGCGGCGTTTACACCGAGAGTTGCGCGTCTAGCCTCAGATGCATTCCACGCAGCGGAGACAAAGCACCGCTCCAAGCGTTGCTGCAAGGGCGGGCGGTTTGTCGCAGCGTCAAGCGGAGGAACCAAATCCAGCGGGAGGGTGAGTCACCCGGCACGGCCGGAGAAGTTTTACCTCCTTTCAGGTCAGATTGAGCAACAAGTGGTTGCCCTCGGGTTTGGTCAACGCAAATATGAAGAAACTGTTCAAAACCACAGTCCAAAGGTGTGCAGGTTAGGTGAATTGGCCATGGGAAATGCGGGGTTACGAGGATTGGTTGGGGAGGAGAGTAGGTTTGTGTCGGATGAGAGTTGGTGCAGAGTCGATGAGCCGAGTGGCCCCCTTCTGCTCTGTCGAGATTCTACGATTCATTGGACGGCGATCTGAGGGAGGGAGGAGACAAGGTAGTTGAAAGAAGTCCGTTGTGGGTATAGTCAGGTTGAGATGTTTTTAGTCTGTTTTCTCTTTAATGAAGAAAGGCAGGTGAGTGGTATAAGACAGGGACAGCCCTGTGTGTGTGAATATTAAACAGGCGAGGATAGGACAGGAGTTTTTTTTTACCCCTTTTGGGGCTCCTGTCTCCTGTCGAACACTCTCTCATCACAGCTGGCACGGGGGTACTGGGTCAGGTAACCAAGAATGGGTGGCAATTTGAAAAGTTACCGCCTTCTGAATAGGAAGGAAAATGGCAGGACTATCATTGGACAGGAGGTCATTCAGCTGTGTTTCTCCAAAATGGCATTTGAAATCATATGCTGCCAGAGCTGCTGAGTTTCTCACGCAACTTGTTTTTGTTTCAAATCTCCGTAGTTCTGCTTTATAAAAGGTTTAAGCAAGCGGGAGAGTCGAAACTCTGTAAAAAGTGTTCACCGAGATGTAATAGAAACAGTTAGGGTGGACGGAGCGTGCAGAATTCAAAATATTGCATGTCCATACATAATTTCAGAAATCATGTTAGTATCTAAAAGAAGCACATGCTTTTGTTTCTTGCTTGTCGTGACATCACAGCATCTGAATGCCCTTGTTCCCCATCCCACCTTTAACGTTGCAAAAACGGTCGTTAGTTTGTGCCCAAGAAGATGCCACGATTTGCTTGACGTTGGTTCAGTGATAACTTCCGTTCAAGACACCGGGTGAAACTTTTCCGCTCTTCAAAATAGTGCCACGGGATTTTTTTAAATCCCCATGGAGAGGGTACGGCCCCCCCCCACAAGGTAGTGAGGCACTGCCTGCAGCGGAGTGCCAGCCTGGGTTTTGAGGTCAAGTTTCTCCCAGTAGGACTTGAAGCTGCAACCTGAGGTTGGTGAGGGACACTCATCAACCAGCTCACATTAGCTGGCTGTGCAGGTCAGCAGCACT